AGAAACATCATAAGTATACAATTGAGCCCAGTACAACTGTTCCCTAGTTACCCCTTGTTTAGCTAGGGAATCAGAAAAAGCATTTGCCTCCCCCCACCCACTGTATAGTTACCTCCATCTGCTGAGTTAACCATTTGAATTTCTTCAATTCATTTCTGTGAGCCCAGATCACTGAATCTGGGTTTTTTACCCAACCCAACACCACCTTGGAGTCCCCTTCTATCACCAAATTTTCCAATCCTAGCTCTCTTGCAATCTGTACACCTTGTATGGCTGCGTACAATTCTACCTTTAAAGAGTCTCCATTCCCCACTGGTCCTGAGAAGATTTCTCTTAAGTTTCCTTCCTTGTCTCAGATGACCCCTCCTATTCCAGTTGGGCCTGGGTTGCCTTGACTACTCCCATCGAAGTTTAATTTCAGGAATCCTTCAATGGGAGGAGCCCAAACCAACCTTGCCTTAACCTTCTGCATTGAGCTAGAAGCCACTAATGGCCAATTCCTCCAAATATCATCAAGTGTGAAATTTTTTAATAGTTCCACCGTTTGTAGCCGGTTTATAACCCTAGTCATTACACACTCCACAATTTGTCGTTTGCTCCTTTCTTTCTCTTGGAAAGTTCTAGCATTTCTTTCTTCCCACAAGATCCACACCACTGCTGCTCTAGTGGACCTCCACATTACTCTTCCCCTCTTCTTCGGTAACACAAAGGTAGATGGGTCAAACAGAACTTTTATCTCGGTTGGCATATTCCACCTGCACCCAAACAAAGAGAAAAATCAATCCCATATATCTGAAGCAAATGAACAGGAAATTAGTAAATGGTAACAAGATTCACCATCAGATTTGCATAGAGTGCACCAATTCGGGGAAATACACAAAAAAGGCCTCTTCTTCTGCAAATAATCCAGAGTGTTAATTTTCCCAAGAGCCACTTCCCAACAGAAGGCCTGAATTTTAGGAGGAATCAACGAAAACCAAACTTTTTTCCAAGGAAAGGACAAAGAGGAAGAGGACTGACAAAGAGCTTTAAAAAAGGAGGCACAAGAAAAAGAGCCTTTAGAACTTGGGAACCAAATTCTTCTATCTGGACAAGAAAGCTCTAAACAAACACCATCTAGGAGAAGGAGAAGTTCTAACAAACAAGTTGCTTCCTCATCCCTCAAACCCCTACGAAATCTGAGATTCCAGTTAAGACTCAAAGGCAAAGAAGGAAGAACAAAAAAATTTGAAATCACCTTATTTTTATACAACGAAATAGAATACAAAGAAGGAAAAACCTCCTTTAAAGGCTAGTCACCAAACCAAGTGTCTTCCCAGAAACCAATGAAATTCCCTGAGCCAACATCATACCTGATGTACCTGAGAAACTGAGGGAGGAGGCTATGAATTGCTTTCCAAGGTGCTGCCAAGGTAGCCCTACGCGATACACCAGCGTCCCAGCCATTCTCCAATCTACCATGTATACTTGCCACTATTTCAACCCACAAATTCTCTCTCAAGAGGCCATCTCCATAATCATTTCCCTAACAGAGTTGTATTCTTCTTCCTTACATTCCCTAGACCTAAACCACCTTCTTCCTTTCTTTTACACACAACCTCCCATTTTATTAAATGGTCCTTTCTAGTCTCTCCCGGCTCCCAAAGGAAATCCCTCATAATTTTTTCTAATTTCGTTTCTTCTCTTGGTGGAATCCTAAAGGCAGAGAGAAAGTAGATGGGTAGGTTAGCCATAGTAGATTTTATCAGCGTGATCCTACCTCCCAAAGAGATATAACTCCTTTTCCAAGCAGCCAATCTCTTTATACATCTTTCTATAGCTGGGTTTCAAAACCTACTTTCCTTCGGGTTTGCACCTAGGGGAAGCCCTAGGTTGGTCAGAGGCCACGGGGTGATATAACATTCTAAGCAATCTGCTATCCTATGTAGGACCACCCCCTCCATATTAATCCTTGCTATGCAACTCTTGTCCAAATTGATTTTCATATTTGACACTTTTTCAAACTTCTTGATTAGATTTTTCAATCTCTCAACTTTCCTAATGTCTCCTCCACAAAAAATAATGATACCATCTGCAAATTGGAGATGAGTAAGTGGGATGTTGTCTCTACCCACTCTCTAACCCCTAAATTGGAGATGATATCATCTGCTAGTTGACACTCCCATTGACCACACTAAGAATAAGATAACAAAGAGTGAGGAGGAGCCATTGGACAATCCAACTAGTTAAAGGCTACAAGTAAATAAAATTATCTACTTCACTGTTACCAGACGATATATGATTTAGAACGGGAGTATTGAGTCAATTTATGCTGAACCCAAGGTCTAGTCACTGGGCAGGTGTCATTAGGGTGTTATGCTATCTAAATGATGCTCCAGGTCAAGTATTATTATATAATAAAGGGGAGGATTGACATTGGAAGGATATTCAAATGTTGATTGGGAAAGATCTGTAACAAATAGAAAGTCTCCTATAGTGTATTGCACATTTCTTGGGGGTAATCATCTTACATGAAAGAGTAAGAAGCAAAGTGTGGTTGCTAAAAGCAATCCAAAGCTGAATATAGGGCAATGGTCCACAGCACTTGTGAATTAATTACGTTGAAGCATTGATTATAGGAGATTGGAGTAGATGTCTCTAAACCAATAAAGTTGTTTTAAGACAACCAAGCTGTAATTCATACTTCTTCCAACCAGTGTTCCATGAAAGAACCATGCATATAGAAGTAGAATGTCATTTTGTGAGGGAGAAAGTCAAAAGTGGACAAATTGCCACACATTATGTAAGGATTGAGTTAGGTATGGATGAATCAGATCTGTAGCAACCTGGAGCTTTATGACATCTATGCTCCAACTTGAGCAGGAGTTTAGAAGTTTTATATATCCTGTATATACAGTGGCAGCAAGATTTTAGTGTCCTTTTCTTTTTATTCTTTAAACAGGGGCAGTTTTGTAGTTGTATTTCACATCATATAATTAATAAAAGATGTACAGCAGTTGGATAATCTAAGTTGGTCAGATCTACTCTGCTCTTTGCCCTAATTCTATTCTCTTTCTTCTTCATTCTACCCAGACACATCTCAGAGGCCTTTTCTTTTGTATTTCCTCTGTTATGTGATTTATTCTAGGCAAAGTACAATAAGATTTAAGATCAGCTCACTCTGAGCCTAATCTGGTTAATCCCCCCTATTCACTCATCTTTCAAGATCAATACATTGACATTACAATAGCTGTTCTAAAGCTTCCCTTTTCTTTTTTTTTTTTTTTTTTGTGGGGGGGAGGGGGGGTGGTTAAAGCACACAAGAGCACTGCTTGAGGAGTGGCATATCCAGGGGCTGTCTAAGAAAGGAAAAGGAAAGTTATGCTAGAATTCCATCCCTCCGGCAGTTCTGTGGGCTGCGTGGTCAAATCTACTACTGAAGCTGAGGTCATTAACTTGGCAATAAAGGTTTTGAGAAGTTGGTTGTCTATAAATACTGTTTTCAGAGATAGTATTTCTGATTATACTTTTTTGAGGATGGCCTCCATTTTGTACAGCTTCTCATTGTACTCGGACCTTATATTAATAAGATCATACTTTACCTTTTTTCAAAAAAAATAAATAAACAAATAAGCACAAGGGGCATAATGGTACAACAGAAGTAACAAGAGTAAGATTCTTTCAAGTGGTTAGGATCATTTTGCAACAGCACTGCCTATCATTCACCTGACTGATGGAATAGATTTTATTAGTTTTAGAGAAGTCTTATTTTCTGATCCTTGAGTGATTCTGTTACATAAAGAAAAGACCATGCATCTGCACCATTTAACATATGCTCTGGCTCACCAACCAATAGTTATTAAGGAATGCAAATTACATGGGCTAAATTTCCCCAATCGCCAATCTCGAAACAAATAGTATCCCAACTTTTAACTCCATACAAATAAGAAATATCCTTAAGAGGAGACGGTGATTGAAACATACGGTAGACAACTCCTCCTCAGAGGCATGAGCACGTTCCAAGGAAAGCAAATATCGAACCCAAAGTTCCCCGATCCAGGTACAATTTCTTGTGGCCCTGGAATAAACACACTTTGCAACATTTGGAATCTGAAATAAAAAGGTAAATGATATGAAGTGAAGCAATTACATCTAATTACGGGAAAAAAAATTACATCTAATGAAAAATTGTTTGAAACAAATTTGAAAGAAAACCTTCAGGGTGTGATCTAAATACTGAGTATATTCAATCCAAAGGTCACTTGATATAGGAAATACTGCAACAGCGCGTTCGTATAGAAGTTGAATGCGAGCTGGATCACCACAGGACTGTTCAAACTTCAGGTAGGTCTGCAAAAGCCAATAGCATTAGAGTAAATAGTTAAGCATAATGATACAAAAAAGGAAAACCACTTTACTGCTTTCATTATATTATATACTCATGTATACAGATTAGCCAGGTAGGTAGTAGATAGTATACAGGAACCAAAGAAGACAAGAACTAACAGTGACTCGTCACACAGTTTACCAAAGGGAAGAGAGCTACTGTATCATGGAAACCTAGTTTTCTGTAAGCATGCACATTTCACCATCCACAGAAGATAACCCAATGGACGGATTGCATGAGAAGTTTTGGAAAAGAATACCAGAATACATCCAAGCCGTTTGAGATACAACCATTTGAGAATGTGTTGCATCAGCTGTATGTAATATATTGATCAAAACAAAACAAATTTGTATTTAATCCTGTTGACCTATTTTCTTTTAAGATATTGGCAAATGTATCAAGTCCTTCTGATCCATATGAGAGTTATTGTGTATCTTCTTTTCTGAATAGGGACAGTAATTGTTTTCAGTGATCCTCTCTTAATGATACAAAGTGAAGACCTTTGAAACATAATCATATTTGCATTATTGAGTATATGGAGAAAGAAAAAAATGTAAGGGAAGAGTGGGGGAACCAGAAGTACCATTATTGGATTTGCTGATGGTTCACCTGAACTATAAGAAGTTGACAAATCTCCATTTAGATAAGGCATTTTATCTGTTTGGACATCATGAAAGTATGGACTCTATTGTATTTATCAAGAGATCATGTTGGGTAAGAATGAGAAAGAATGAGAATTGAACCAAGCATGGCCTTAGCCTCTTTCTTTATGGGCAAGAGCAAGGAATGTAACATTTGCTCCCGACGATATTTTCCCTTTCCAGTGAAATTCAAAAAAAAAAAAATACCTCCATCAAATCATCTTTTATGACCTCTCAACAATCCTGATAAAAAGCCATTGAAAACCCATCAAAACCTAGGGTTTGGATCTTTCCATTGAGAAAATTGTTCCACGAACCTCTTCCATAATGAAATACCTTTCTAAAAAGGCTGCTTATGTTTCAGGCACAATGTTCCAATCCAAGTCTTCAAACTTAAGGTATCTATTTCCTATAGTGGCAAAGATTGATTTGAAATGCTCCACTAAATTCTTAACAACTTCCCCTTCCCTATCTACACCTGGCCATCAACCTCAAGCTATACTTGGCAAAAAGTTGACCCAACCCACGAACCCGACCCAACCCAACCCGAAAAAATAGGGTTAGGGTCTCATATTTAGCTACCTGAATGAGAGAATGACCCAACCCGGAAAAAATTGGGTTGTGTTGGGTTGGGTCATGGGTCAACACGCTGACCAAATTGTCAAGTCTAATTGGGACTATTTATGCATTGTTAGAAGTTTCCACTCTTTAATTTTTTCTATTTAGTCTTTACTCTTTATTGTTTACTCTTTAAATTGTTAAATGTTCAAGTTTTTTTATTCTATATTTGGAATTTTAAGGTTAATTCCTTTAATTTTGGCATTTCCCATGTAGTTTATCT